ACCCGAGGAAAAGCAGGGAGGTGGGATGGATTCCAATTTTATTAAGGGGGGAAAAAAGCAATTGAGCAAAGGGAGAGGTAACTCTCCGACTGCATTATTAATAAACAATAGGATAAAGTTCTTCTGAAAGAAAGATTTTCCCGCATGGCACAGTCACCTAAATCTGAAGTATTTCAGTCTCTCAATATTAAGCAGGAGCAGTGTGGTCAATTTAATATTCTGAGGGATTTTTAAGTTCTTAGTTTTGACACCTTCCTAGAAAAATCTCAGTGGGCACGTTGGCCTGTTCATCGATGTGCCTTAGTTACTGCACATTTAGTTCAGTACTTTCTTAATGAAGTACTAAGTAAATGCCCAGTAACTAGAACTATTGTGCAGCAGCATGGGCACATGGTAATTTTGTGATGCTTACTGCACATTAGCCTAATAACATGGCCCCCTAGGCTTTCAGCACAAGTTTTAACTGCCACCCTACTGCTCAGTAAGTGTAGACTGGCGCCTGTACTGCACGGAAGTTGTGGTTACGGTGCAGGAGATGCGCCCAGCTGTTATTAGGCTAAGGCGCAATAAGTGTCTCATGTAGACGCCCCGCGTTGCACTGACACGTGTGTGCCTGCACAGCGAGCCTCGGGGAGGGGAGGGGGATCACCTTTGCTTAATCGCTCGTTCCCGTTGTCGGCGACGTTTCTCCCCCTTCCTCTTTCCGACCTGAAGGGGACTGGGCGCAGCCAGTGCACAGCCCTGGTGCGTGAGGGGGGAGCGGCGTGCAGCGCCGAGCAGCGGAGGCTGTCGGGGGGCGGCAGGAAGCGCCGCTTCCCTTCCCGGGGGCTCCGCCCCGAGCGGCCGCGGCTCTGGGCCTCCCGGGACTACAGAGAAAGCGGGAGCGGCCGGGCAGGACGGAGGGAGCGAACAGGCGCGGGTTGCACGCGGGGCAAGCGGCGTGGCCGGCCCGGGGGAGGGCGCGCGTGTCGCCCGGCGCAGGAGAGATGCTTTGTCCGGAGGAAGCGGCCGGGGAGGGTCGGGAGGTTTGCCTGGGAGGGAGGGAGCCGGGAGCGCCGCTTCCTTTTGGAAAAAGGTAAAAGCTGGAGGCACCTGGATCCCGCCCCGGCCGGAGCTGCGCCTGCACCAGATCCAAGGCCCCCTCCTTCCTGTCTTTGCTCTCCAACCCCAAACTGGCGCCTGAAGATCCTAGCCTTTGCTCCTCTGTGCGCAGCCGCTCCCCGTCCCCTGCTCTAGTCCCTTCCACGCTTAGTCCCGAGAGCATGTCCGGAGCCCCAGCTCTTCCACGCGACTTTTGGTCCCGAGGTCCAGGTTGTTGGGGGTTAAATACAGTCCCTTAGCACCGGGCTAGTTCGGATTCCCGTGCACCCAGTGGCTGAAAACCTGGGCAGCCCTAACAGCAGCTGCAACCTTCCTCTCCCTGCACCTGAATCCATCTGGATCCTGAGCGGGTTGGGCCCACCTGACTAATCTGAATAGAAAACAAATGGAGCCACTGCTGTTTCTCTTGAGGAAAACAGGAAGGGGATCCTGGGGCATTCTGACTCAGTAGCCTGGGTGAGGAGGAGAGGGTGGTACACATTTGGTCCCTTGCAAATTATTCCCACAAATTGTACTGTCTGGGAGAGGGGGCTTCCACAAACCAGACCCTAATGGGAGGTGACCCAGCCTATAACCATACACACAAAAATGTATCGGGAGCTTGGATACAACAAAGCTGCTGCTATTGTTGCATCCCTGCAGGGAAATACTGTAAAGCTGCCCAGCAAGGCAGCTCAAGTTCCACTCTGCTCAATAAGTAGCACCTGCCTTCTGCCCCATTTGGCCTCATGCCACCAATGTACTGTGGCAATGAACAGTATGTGTCGCTGCTCTTCCTTGACCCAAAAATCCGAGCTTCCAGCGTCCCAGTGAAAAGGCAGTTGAAACCCCTATGCATAGCACCTGGGTCCCTGTGGACACAAATATCTAGAACAGATGCAGGCAATTATTTTGGGTGGAGGGCCACTTACTGAGTTTTGGCAAACCATTGAGGGCCACATGACAGGCAGCCAGGGGCAGCTAAATATTAATTTTCTACATCTTTTTAGGTGCCCCACAGGCCAGATAGAATGGCCTGGGGAGCTGCATCTGGCCCATGGGCTGCATTTTGCCCACCCCTGATCTAGAAAAACATGGAGGTTGACAGTTTGTCACTGTTAGTTTGTTTTTAGGGACAGAATTTTACTCCAGGCTTTTGGTCCACTATCAGGATGGGATCCCTGGTCCATCCTTTCCCAGCAGCACTCCTAGTGGACCTGGATCTGTATTTGCAAATAACAGCTGTACTGGGAGAAATGGGTGAAAAGGGTTGGAGGGAGGAATCCTTTTGGATCCAGATGCAGGTTTCTTGTGCCGGGATGGATCAGGGCTTAGATTTTGTCTGACCTTGTTTGTTTCTGCCGTTGGCCTTAGAGATGCACTGCCAAAATAAAGCAAGATCTAGTTTCCATTCTGTGGGTTAGCGTGACTTATTCATGTTCCAAGCCTGGTTATTTTTGGATGGATTCTACCTGCTTTGATGCTACAGTTTGGGGACTTGGGGCCAAAACTGGTACAGTTCTGCAGGGTCCAGATTCTGGGGACATATTGGAATATGGATTATTCAGTTGTGTTGGCTGCTGTTCTTTGGTGAGTTGGTAGAACTTCGAGCATTCAAACATCTCATTAGAACAATAATTTTTTTTAAAGTCTGGATCCATCCGAGTCATAGAAAATCAGAGTTGGAAGGGACCTCTGGAGATCATCTAGTCCAGTAGTTCTCAACCTTTTTTGTACCAGGACATATTTGTAAACATCAATGGTCAGTCCCAACCCAGAGACCCTCACTCCTGACTGGGTACTCTAGGCCTCACCCCCCCAGTGGGTGGAGCAGGGCGTGGGTGTGTGGGGCGTGGGAGGGGCCTAGGTTTCCCATGTTTTTCTCCTTTAAAGGAGAATAAGTTTTAAAGTTTGTTGATCCATTTTTAAATTTTGGTCATGACTCTGGCATATATTCTTGTGACCCACTTTTGGGTCGTGACCCTTGGGTTGAGAAACACGGATCTAGTCCAACCCCCAGCTCAGAGGAGGACTATCCCTAACTTGATCACCCCAGTCAAGGCTTTGTCTACCCCCATCTTAAAAACCTCCAAGGATGGAGATTCCACAACCTCTCTGGGTAGTGCATGCAATGCTGCTGCTTCAGTTTGGATAGTTTGGTGTATTTAAACAGAAGGATTTTGGAGAGCAGGGTATAAAATTGGCATGACCTTGCAGGAATCAGATATATCTTCCAGTTATATCAGGACCAGTTTGCATGGCGTTGCAAGAGTCTTTCTACCAAACCCCTTTCTAGTGGTGCTTACTCTTGTTTTCTGCTGAGAAGGTGTAGTCTAATGTTTGGGACCAAAATGTGCCAAGGTTCAAGGGCTGGATCCAGATTTTGGTGGCACCAGAGTCCAGAGCTGTTGTTGCAATTACCATTGGGGTCTTTGTGACAATCCAGACTGTAGCTGTGGCAAAACGCACACCATGTTGCATATTATAGATGACTGCCCACTGACAGTGGAGTGGCGGACCACAGGAACTGCATGTGGCCACTGAAACCGCTATGGCATGGCTTGGCAATGACACATACACTGAGTGACTGGTGCAGTGGCTGTTATGCCCCTTCCGTATTATGCTAAGGAATTTGGGGAGCAATTTGATCCATCGGATCTCGGTGTTCACAGGGCGAATGGCCCAGGATGCAGAACACTGGGTGTGGTGGGAATAGTTGGGCTTGTTCTGTAAGAATTTGGGATCTCAGGACCAAAACTTGGCAGGATCCAGTGCCAAATCCGGGTTTTTGTAGTAGCTGTGAGGCCCTGCAGGGTTTGGGATGGGCCATGGGTGTGTATGTGGAGCAGGAAGACTCCACCTGTGTTGTAGTGGGGCCAGGGAGGGGGCTGGGGAGGGGGGGGGGCAGTGCGTGGGCTACAGGGTGATCCAGCACAATCCAGGTAAATCCAGCTTTTACCTTTCTCCTCCTCTCTCTCAGCTTGTGCAGGGGTTGTAGTTTGACTGTTTCCTGGTCTCACAGAAAGAGGCAGTGCTGAGTTAGAAAGACAAAAATAGCCCTTTACAGAGAAATATAGGGATTGTGTGTGTGGTGGGGAGAGAGAGGAGAGCAGCAGCAGCAGCAGGAGGAGCAGGAGGAGGCTGGTTTCCAGGAGGAGCCCTTCTCTCTTCTCTCGTTGTGTGTTAGACATTTTTGTACTGATTTTTTTTTCTTCCCTCGGCATAAAGGCGGTTGCCTCGCCCAGCTGCTGCTAGCATCTGTCTCTCTGGGGCAGAAAAAAACCCCCAATCTGGGTTTGATCAGAAAGCGACCAGAGACCATTTTATCTGAGCAGCCGGGGAGGGGGGGAGAAGAGAGGAGAGGAGAGAAGAGAAAACGTCGCAGGGATATAAATACCAATTCTGGTGGACCCTTCCCCCCTCCCCCCTTCCCCCCTGTAAATACATTTCTATACAAAGAGCACAAGCTGACATCCATCCTTAGCAGCAGCAATGGGGTGTTTGGGCAACAGCAAAACAGAGGATCAGCGCATCGATGAGAAAGCGCAGCGAGAAGCCAACAAAAAAATAGAGAAGCAGTTGCAGAAAGAGCGACTGGCTTATAAAGCCACACATCGGCTGCTTCTGCTGGGTAAGGAAGGAGGAAGGAGGGTGGGGGGAAAGGAGGGTGCCATGGCCTGGGCTCCCCTAGGTAGGGTCTCATTCTGTGCTTGGGTTGTGCGGTTGTGTGTGCGTGTGTGTGGGAAAGTACTGGATGGGAACAATTTTGCAGGCAATTTTGGTGAGCAGTATGTGAAAAGTCCACAGCCCTGAGCCACATGGATGCATCCGTCTGGAAAGGCTGCTGGGGCTTGGAGATGCTGCTTAGAGCCAGTCCAAAACACTGGGTCCATCGCAGGGTTCTGTCTTTTTTCTTCCAGGGGCTGGTGAGTCAGGGAAAAGCACTATCGTGAAACAGATGAGGATCCTGCATGTCAATGGATTTAATTCAGAGTAAGATCTATTGCTCCTTTGTGACTTACATATGTAAATATACATTTGAACCCTATGTTAACACACCGCATACTAGGGAATGCCTCTCTTTTTCTCCTGTCTGTGCAAGTGAGTTGCTTCTGCTCTGCCAAAAAAAAAATAAATTGAGAGACATGAATATTAAGGGAATTACTGCTATTGAATATTTGTATTTTCTCCACCTGGCCTTTCTGTATTTTCCACTGTTGCTACTGCAGCGCTTGACAGGCCCCTGTATAGCAACAACATGGCGACTACTTTTTACATAGCAGCAAATAACTAAATATTGTATCTCAGTACAGATACACATCAATTCATACTCCAGATAACATGGGTTGCTGTTTCTTTTCGATAGTGGTTAGCATAAAACTGAAAGCAATGTTCCATAAATGTAAGACATCTTTGTATGCTGTGGGTTGCATGATTTTTCTCTGAAAAACTCAGCCTGCATTTATTATCAATCGATTGTGCACTAGTTTTAGATAGATGTGGGTTTTAAACTGTACTTATATAATGTGCATTCAAAATTGTCTGTGAACATATTGAGTATGCTGCAGTAATGAAGGAATGACTTTCAGTCCTACCAAGAAGCCTTTGCAGATGTGGTTATGGGTGTCTAATTTGGCAAAATAGTAGGGACCAGTTTACAGTGTTCTTTATAGCACATCAAAAAAAGATGATGGGGGGGGGTTAAAATACCCCTTACTCTATTTTTCAGTGAGTGTGCATTAAAAAGTAAGAAGGCAGTAAGCAAGCAGGCTGTTAAAAATGCTCAACATGATTGAATCAAACTGCTTTGAGAGAGAGAAATAAAACAGTTGATAATTTTGTTTTAATGCAGAGAAAAGAAACAGAAAATACTGGATATTCGGAAAAATGTTAAAGATGCTATTGTGGTAAGAACACATTTTATATTTCCCTTTAAAGATTGTGCATACTAGAAACTATAAGCATTATGCTCTCTAGGATTATATAGCGAGAAATCACATGTTGCCAATGAGATTAGATTGTCTTCTACTGATCCTGTATTTTAGATTTATCCAGATTAAAATGTCTGTTTTTGTTTTATCCAATTCTAGACTATAGTTTCAGCTATGAGCACTTTAATACCCCCAGTTCCATTGGCCAACCCAGAAAACCAATTTCGAATGGACTACATCAAGAGTATAGCTCCACTTTCTGACTTTGACTATACACAGGTAAGAATAAGAAAAGAGTTATGTTCCTATTTTTAAGAAAGAGTACAAAGTTTTGTCTTTGATTTATGATATCATTGCCTACCATTTGGAAGATGTTTTCTAAAGCAAATTTGTTGCAACATTATCACCAAGTTAACTTTGTTGGTCTGTGTTGCATCTGTTAGTATTGCCGCCTTGAGTATATTTTTTGTTGTTGTCTGTAAAGGTGTTTCTAAAAGGAAAAAGGTGTAATGAAAAGAAATGAAGTTTATTTGAAATTTAAGTATTCAGAGTTAGCTTTATCATAAGACTGTTTTGGGGCATAATTAGGTCCCGGACATCAGTCTAAGGAATTATAATGTCTACTTAAGAAACAGAGTACCCTTTTCACACTTTCCTCTTTTCATGGCGAAAACCTTAGATACATAATGAAGCATGTTGCTTCCTCACCTGTTTATTTTATTTCATGTTGCTAGCATTAACGGCAAGGTAAAGTTCTTTAGTTGTGTGAGAACGGTACCATCTTTTGATGGGAACATGAAAGAAATGTAAAAAACAATGGACTTTCTATGAGAAGTCATACATCTATAGTGAGATGTGTTTGGCTTAATTTGCATTTGTGCATTGTTTACTCTGGATTATTAGATTCTCTTGCTCTTTAGTTGTTAATTATTGCTTATAGAAGCATGTACAGTGTATTCATAAGGGTTTTATTCTTTGATTATGAAAGCAACTGGCTGGGAGTTCAGAATATTATTAGTTTTATATTGTTTTCAGTAGCATATTTTTGGTTTATTCTAAAATGCTGATATTGATAGTAATTTGTTTTGGATACAAGAAGGATTGAAAAATCTTCTTATGTCATTGACTAACAGCATATGAGTTGTTCATGTTATCTATATTACCAAAACAGTCACTTACTAGAGTGTCTTCAGGTTGTTACAGCCACTATAACTTGAGGGTTGAAGTGGTGGGGGATGGGGAAGGTTTGTTTCCTTATTATGTGACTGACTCATATTCTCTGGTGTGTGATTTTTGCCTCTGGTAAATCTCCCACTTTGAAGGTTCAAGATAAAGGAAAAAAAACATCAGACATCTTGTAGAGCTAGAATTTAACATAGAATTCAGTTGTTGAGAAAGCTGCGGCTGCAGGGTACACCCACATACAGCATGATTGCTCAGTTGGTGGATACGAGTTAGTGAAAATGACAAAGTTCTTCTTGAGATGGATTTTGAGTTTGTCTTGGTTGTTGACATAATATAAGTTCTGAAGCACTTGTTATTGATGTAAGCATTTTATTTTCCCGTTTATTTTTCTTTAATTTTGTCACTTCGTTATGTACACAGGGTAAATCAATAGACTGCATCCTTTCCAATTATCCACAAGCATTTCTATTTTTCCAAGGGGGGGAGCGGGCTAAAACTCAGGTTTGTTTATCATTTGATCTGTTCCATATTTTTACAATCATTACATTCTAAATAAAATTACAGTTTTACATAAAATTGGATTGTGTTAATATAGATATAGTGGAAACTGAATATAGTAACTGATGTTTAATAATCAGACAAAACTCACTCAAATTCTGAAGTAAGGTGTCATGGATGGTATCTAGGGATATACATTAGGCAAATACATCATCTGTTAACCTTCACTGTTTCTGTTCTTAAGGTTTAATATGCGGAATCTGGCTATCTGAAAAATAGGAGACCAAAATAATATTTGATAGTATTAATCAATTGTTGTTAGTTCAAGGGAGATAAAATCAGCAATTCATGATCAGGTGTTGCCATTAGATTATAATAAGGCATGTTCTAAAATACAATGAAATAAACCTTTTCCTTCGTAGATTTTCATTTTCTAGATTAATATTTTTACCAATATGGATGTCAGTCACTCGTATATGTATAATCCCACCATATTTTTTTAATTTGTGAAGATGCTGAGTGCAATTCTTGATCCAAGGAAGTTGATGCCAAGTGAAGCTTTGCCATTGACTTTCAGTAATATCAGGTTTTCATTCCCTATATTTTAACTTATCCAGTAATCATTAAAAACTTAATCAAATATTTCTTGCATCATTTGCAGTGCCTAGTTTTTCCTTTAAAAAAAACTATTGCAATTTAATATTAATTTCAAATAAATTGCATACAAAATGTGATTAAAGGAATATAATGTGCCATCAATCTAAAGGCTAGAACTTCCTCCTGAAATACAAGAACTTCACTGAGAAGAAAAGAGCTCCACCTTTATTAAGTACTAATTTTTATGTATTTATGACATTCAGGATATGCTTATATAAATTAAATAAATTAACTTTCAAAATTAAGTCTGTATTACTTGCCTTCATAAAATAAATGAAAACACATTTATTTTTTCAATGTGAAATCCTGACCCCATTTAAAATCAATGATCAAAATCCCTTTGACTTCACTGAGAACAGGATTCACTATCAGATGCAAATCTATGATCTGGTTGGGGTTTTTTTATTTGTTTTGTTTTTTTAATTTACCTATTGTTGAATGACTCGTCTTTCAGGTTCCTATAAAATAACTGCAGAAAATGTAACTTCACTGAAACTGTCAACATTGTTTTAATTTCAAGAGGAAATTGCTTGTTAGTATCTCAGTCTACCTGAACAAACACTAAATATAAATATGTATTTTTACATGACAAAAATACTGAATGTTCAGTTTTGGATAGAGATGTCATCTGATGTTTTTATTTATTACATAAAAACACAAACACATTGGGTCTCTTAGTGTTGATGTTCATTCATATTTATTAAAATCAAGATCTTAGTAGAAGTCACGAATGCTTATTTATTTTTTCCTTTGCCAAACTGACAGCATCCAATAACGCAGTGCTTCATACTTGTAATAAGTAGTTTTATTTTGCTGGGTTTTTTGGAGGTTTGTTTGGGAGGTTTTTTTGCATCACTTTATTTCACTACAATACCTTTGTCCATTGTGGAGTACAGGGCTTTCAAAGAAAAGGGAGATCATGTCAAAATACTAATTTATTTAATTATATACAGAACTACTTTATTCTTACATTGCATATAAGAATAGCATCCATAGATGGATTTCACAACTACATTTGAATACATGGAACATTTAAAAGAGGTTATTTTTCATTTTTAGGTTTTGGCAAAGTGCTGATTAATATTTGTTAAAGTTAACAAGAATTGACTTGCACCATTTTTAATGCTGTATTGATGTGTTTATGTCCTTTGTGAAATAGAGTGAACATATTAAGGCCATATTATGCTACTATCTGTGGGAAAATATAGTGTCTTGTATAAGTAGGCATGTGTTTAAAGAGTGAACTTGAATAAGGTGTTTGAATGTTGTAGACACTGCACGTCCATTTAGCTTAAACATGCTATTTTTCTCCTTTTCCATCTTTGGATGTTTAAAGTAGTTATTTTATAAATATGTCTTCTACTTCCAGAGATATAAGTCTACCAGGTAGCAAATAGATTCACAATCAGACCTGTATGGTCAAGTGTTGCTTGTTTAGTTGTAGAGATCATATAAACATTAACATTGGTGTTAGTTAAGCGGATTACACATTTTCTAGGGTGCTCAAAATAACCTTTTCTCTCTTATAATTTTTAATGCTTTTAGAGAGAGAAAGCACTTTGTTAACCCTTCTAAAAACAGCAAATTACTCACTCTGCCTAATGGCAAAGTGCTAATTTTAAAATGTTATTTTAAAATGTTTAAAAATAATTAAAAAATTCGTAGGTATATGAAGTTCTGTATTGTGTTCTCTAATGCAGCATTCAAAAGGAAAAGAAAGGTGTGAATAATGATTTTTTTTTTTTTAATTATTTGATTTTTAGCATGGTGTATTTTACTCCCTTAGGCTGCATACAGACGTAAAAGAAACCCCCCAAAAACAGCTGTGTACTTTAAACTTGGTGCACCCCTGCACCAAGCCCAGTGCATGCCCAGAAAAGGCGTTGCGATGGTCTGACCTGGCTTGCCCAACTTCTGTATAGATCGGGTACTTCATTGGGGCTTTTTTGGCACTTTTATCTAATAGGTAAATAGCAAGGTAAATTTTCTTAGGGTAAATCTGATATCTTTTATTAGACCGACTCCAAATAGTTGGAAAATTTCTTCCTTGCAAGAATTTCCAACTATTTTGGTTGGTCTAATAAAAGATATCAGATTTACCCAAAGATCCTTGTCTACCTATGTCCTTAGCTACAACCTACACTCCTGAAAAATTCAACTAGGACATTTTTCCAAATGGCTTACAAATAAAGGCCATGTTATATGTACATTATTTGGTTTAATAGCCAGATGTTTTTATGTATATGTTTAATTTGGGTTTCACTTCCATATTTGATTTTAGTATATTTTAAGACTCTCGGTTCTTGATTATTATTTCTTTATTTTGGCCAAAGCACCAAGACATTAAAATTTATCTAGCCAAGTTGTTCTTAACCTTTCTAGCCCCAAGGCACTCCTCATTAGACTCAAGGCACCCCATGAAAAATACCAGCTCTTAGTTTTCACTTTTTCTTTTTTTTTTTAGTACAACAGGGATGTCAAACTCATCCGGTCCTGTGAACCAGATGAGGAGTGCAGGGCCACCCAAAATCTGGATCAGGCCCACAGAACAACCCTGTGTTCTGGATCTAGTGTGCAGGGCCAGTCTGATATGGGTACTGCATGCAGCCTGGACCAGGCCTGCCTGCTGGGTGCAGCATGCATGCTGGCTCCAGTGCCAAGTGCCACATGCAGCAGATTAGCTCCAAGTGATGCATGCAATGTGCAGGGCCAGGGCTGGGGCCAGGGTCAGCATGTCCTGCATGCAGCATGGGGCGGCAGTCTGAGACCCACAGGCAGTACCATGGGCTGGATCATCTTAGACATGCCTGGAATACAAAAAAATAACAGAGCAATTCTTTTGCAAAAAACTCAGAAAGACTCTGAATTCCTGTATGAAACCTCTGGGTCTATCTTGTGAAGTTGTTTGTACTCCATTCCACCTTTAAAATGATCTTATG